CAGGTGGTTCCTCCTCCTGCCTCTCACTCGCTCTGCATCCTGGGGAAACGTGCTTTCCCTCCCCAGGCCTGAGCTACTGAGTTCTTACTGCCATTGGGTCTTATAGGCCCCAGGGAGATATGAGGAGTAGAAGAGTGTCTGTCGTCATTAGAGTCCAGGCCCAGCTCTCCGTTCTGCCACTTCCTACGTCTCTCATCTTGGGTCAACGGCTCCATCTCTCGGTGCCTCAGTCTCCACGTCTGGGAAATGGGGTGATTCCATTATTTAGAATCAAACACCCACTCTGGTGACAAGGTTTCAGTGACCTTTGCCCAGTGCTTAGAATACGGCCTCACCCAGAATAAGCGCTATACAAGGAGCCCTGGTGGCATAGTAGGTTACATGCTGGGCTTTTTAACTGCAAGGTCGGCAGTTCAAAACCACAGGTGGCTTCGCCACTCCCATAAAGATGTACAGTCTCGGAAACCCTCAGGGTTTCAGGATGCAGTTCTACTACATCCTATAGGGTCACTGTGAGTTGGAATCGACTCGAGGACAGTGAGTACTTTTGGTTTTGAAAGTGTAAGGTAAGTGTAAGTGTGCATGGGAAGTGCTCCAGGCGGCCCCCAAGTGGCCCAGGAATGTTGAGCCTTACCGGAGAAGGGCTCCAGGGTGACCTCAGCCTGCTCTGCGGTGCCGCACTCAGGCCCCAGGACCCCATTGTAGCTGACGGTTCGGGCACAGAGCAGCAGGTGGCAGGTTTGGTCTGTGGAGGTGTTGTTGGTGATGTGGGCGAAGACATCAAAGTCGTTGCCCAAGTTCATGCCCGGGCCCACACGGATCCGCATGGCCATGTCTGTCTCCTCCTTCTTCTCCAGCTTGTTCAGGTGGTTGGCCTTCAAGAACGCTTCCCTCTCCTCTGCCGACCCTGTGGGGGCAGGGGGGAGGAATCTCGTCAGGACAGGCTGAGGGACTAGTGGGAGGGAGCATGGACATGGCAAACTGGCTTCTGAGAGAGGCCCTGAGGGAGCCCCTACTCGCCACGCTTCCGTAGGACGTAGGATAGGACGTATCGCCAAAGAAGAGAAAGTGAGCAGTCCCCTGCAGAGGCAGGTCCTCCCACTACGGATAATAAACGCCATGTCCACGGGCAGCACCACAAACCACATGGACAGGGCGGTGGTTGTGAAGATGCATACCTCTCCCTTCAGTTTTAGTAAGAGTTCAACCAACAACAACAACAACAACCACAACAAATCAGCCTTCAAAATGTCGGCTTATTATCTTTTTAAAATTTATTTTTTAATGGATGCTAGCATTCTCTACAAAACCCAAACACACTCACTCACTGCCGTCCAGTCAATTTGGACTCATAGCGACCTATGGGACAGGGCAGAATTGCCCAGTGGGTTTCCGAGATTGTAACTCTTCATGGGAGTAGAAAGCCTCGTTTTTCTCCCGCAGAGTGTCAGGTGGTTTCGAACTGCTGACCCTGAGGTTAGCAGCCCAACTCATAACCCTTATACTATGTGATTAACCCTTTTTACCACCATCCCCTAAGGTGTCTGCTAAGCTTGTACTAGCTGCTAAGGGATTTTTAACAACGGAGTGTAACTGACAGGCCATTATTGCATGTCAGCTGCCAAAAAAGGCCCAGGCCGCTGGCACGCTGCTAGTAGGCTAGGAAATGGGATGCTTGTCTTCAAGGCAAGGGCCCAGGCCTCTGAGCGGGCAGGTGCCTACCCTCTGGGTACTTGTAGGTGTGAGTGATGTCCTCCCGCTCATCAGAGCCCACTCGCTTTGTGCTGATCTTCAGCCCCACGACCAGGGAGTGGTTGACTGACTTGTGCATGGTCCCATCGTCCTGCTGGATCCAGTTCACCACGTCGGCATTGACCTCGGCAAAGACAAAAGGGGCGTCGTACTTGGTACTCAGGTCACCTTCCTTGATGGCGCGAACTGGAACTGGGCCACAGCAGTAGGTCCCTGGTTTTGGGTAAATAGAAGGGAGACAGGTTGGGGTGAAGAGGAGGATCCCTCCATATCAACTACATGGAGCAAAAAATCCATGGGCCCTTTGACCCAATCACTCCATTCCTAGCAGGGTAGTCAAGGTTAAAAATAGGGTTTGTGAGGACAACTGCCAGGGTTCAAACACCAGCTCAGCCCCGTGTGTGACCTTGGACTAGTTACTGGACTTTTCTCAGCCGCTGTTTCCTGCGAGGCTTGGTCATGTGTACTTTGGGTGTGTTATCAGAAGGGGGCCGGTTGGTCCCTGGAGAAGGACATCAGTGAGAGAGAGGAAGTCCCGCCCAGATGGATTATCGCAGGGGTTGGAACAATGGGCTTGGATGTAACAACAAAGGACAGGGCAGGCCTGGGCAGTGCTTCGTGTCCTGCTGTATAAGGGCGGCTATGATTCAGAAGCACCTCACAGCAACGAGGATTCATGAGTTCTATCCGTAAAGCTCTGGGCGTCTACTAAATGCCATCTAAGGGTTGGACGTAGAAATCTGACAGGCATCCGAAGGCTGTATCCCAGGCTGGAGCCAAGCAGCAGCCAATGCGTTAGGAAGGAGTGTGGCCATCTTGCTGGATGCTCGGGTGGAGCCTGAAGTCTGTGCCCAGCATGTGGCTGGCCTTAGGGCGTGGGGACTGCTGGAAGGTGATCTCAGCGCTGCAGACCAGGGGCTGCTTAGCTATGCCATAGCACATCCCTGTTTTGGACATGGTAACATCCGATCCCAATTCAAATCATGGAACGTTTTCACTGAGGGAGAAATGTTAGTACTACGTGGGGGGCCGACGGAGCAGGAGGAAAGGTTTTGAGCAGCAGGAGTTCCTAGCCGGGGGTCCATGGACCCCCTCGGTGCTGCAAATAGAATTCGGGGGTCCACGAACTTGGTTGGGGGAAAAAATATCACATCCTTTGTCACTGTTTTTGGAACAATGAATTTCCTTCAAGTGCAAATGAAGGCTCCCAAGCACAGCACAGTCGTGTCAGCTGCACCTGTGACTTGTCACGGGGAGGGAGAGGGGGAGGAGCCACGCAGACAGCACACCTCAGCGTGGTCACAGGTGGTTGGAGATGCCCTTTACACCCATGTCTACCAGGAAATTACGGAGCTTAAGAATGCCACTATGGATTCCTAATTTAGGAAGGAGCACACGCATTCTGATATCACAAATTAAAAATACAACGTTTGAGGGATGACAGTGGGAACCCAACATTCATTTGTGGAACTACCCAGGAAATCCACCTGCGAAGACCTTCCCGTACCTGAAATTGAGGGTATGGGGGGAAAGTGGTCACTAGACAAAGTGCTTGGGAGAGAGGACTATCGCAGGTCGAAGGCAGAGAGAAATCTGACCTGAACAATAAAAACATTGTCAGTCGATTCTCCCCTATGATGCAGGTTGGACCTGATCTGGTTTCCCAAATTTTCTGTATGTTTGGTGTGATTGTTTTCTTTGGTTTTTGCTTGTTCATATGAGAGTGTTATCTCAGGGGAGTTATGTCAATGGGGGCCACCCTCTTGAAGCTGTGTTCGATGCTTCCCTGTGTTTCGGTATATGAAACCCAGGATTGACCAACCTATAAGGGGTTCAGGGGGAGGTGATACAGTGGGGGTGTGTGTGTGTAAAAGGGAGACGATGTTAAGAAGTCCATGTAGAAAAGGAATGTTTGGAAACTGATGATGGTAGCAATTGTACCTTTTTAATTATATATATAAAATCCCAACTTAAAAAGGCAACAATATACCACATAAAAAAATAAAAATAAAACTTTCACTAACTATGTTATAATGCCACTGGCATTCTTTGGCATTACAGTACAGCGAGTGAAAGTTATGCACATATCTCTCCATTTCAAAGTACCACTCTGAGAAAGAGCCAACACCAGAGATGTTCTTTTCTCTCTCAGTCTCTCCAATCATCTACACGGTGGCTGCAGCCACGGGCTCACACACAGGAACAATTGTAAGGATGGCGCAGGACCGGGCAATGTTTCATCCTGTGGGGTACCAGGGTCGCTATGAGTCGGAACCAACTCGGTGCCACCTGACAGCAACAACACGTGTGTGTCTCTCAGCGTACGTACGTCTGGGCCTTGTAACGCTCCAACCTTCGGGTTGGCAGCTGAGTGCCTTGACCAAGAACACGCATACTTACATGCCCACAAACCAGTATGGAAATAACTAGCCAATGGTCTTTGGCATCAAACAGACCCGGGCTAGCACCCCAGCTCTGCCACTCCTGAGCTGAGGTGCTCCACCTTTCTGAGCTTCAGCTTCCTCGTCTAGGGAATGGGCCCAGTCCTACTCACCCTCACTCTTCTCCTGGGGTGTGGGGTCGAGGGCCTGCCACCCCTCATAGCCCGGCTGCAGGTCAGGCCTGGTCATCCATGACTCCACCCAGCAGTGGAAGTTCCTGTTGGGGCAATGAAGTCAAACATTAGCCAAAAGGCAAACCGGGGGACTTCCTGCCTGCCTTCCTCCTGGGCGCCTCCCTGGGGCTCATCCCAGACACTCAGGGCCTTGTGCTGAGCTGAATAGGTGCTTCCTCTCAATACTCCTACACCCAGAAGTCATTTTCAAACCCCTGCCTCCTTCACCTCCTGCTTCAGTGGTGCCTCTGGTCAACCGATGCATTGAAATATTGGCGGTTCAAACCCACCAGGCACTCCATGGAAGAAAAAGGAGGCCGCCTGCTCCCATAAATATTTACATTCATGGAAACACAAAGGAGGCATTTCGCTGCCCTATAGGGTTGCCATGGTGGTGTAGTGGTTACACGTTGGACTGTGATCTGCAAGGTCCGCAGTTTGAGACCACCAGCCACTCCGAGGACGAAAGACAGGCTCTCTACGCCTATAAACAGGTACAGGCTCAGAAACTCAAAGGGACGACGGTTGCTGTGAGATAGCATAGACTCGGTGGCAGTGACTTTGAGTTTGGTTTATAGGTCGCTGTCAATAGGCATTTGGTGGCAGTGGGTTTGCATTTAGGTTCTTGTCAATTCCTTGGCTCTGTCCTGTCTTGGCTAGGCCTGAGCCAGTGTCCTGGTCCCCTCACCTTTCACCCAGGCCCCGTACTGGTCTCTCCTCACTCAGATGTGTCTCCTCCCTCACCTCTGGCCGCCTCTCCATGTATGCTCGCTGACATCCCGTCCCCAGGCTTGTGTCCTTGTTGGACCTCTGCCGGGAGGACTCCCTCCAACCCCCACCCCAGCCCCACCAACCCCAAATTCTGTCCCCATTCCTCATCTTTTAAGGCCTAGTCCAGGAAGCCTCTCCAGGTGTCCCTCTGTCCCCCTCCCCCACGGTCCCCGCCTCACCAGATCATCTCATTCTTGCCCTCCTGGATCTCCCCGAATTTGTTGTGGAAGTACTCGATGAGTAGATTGCTGTTCTGGTCATGGGCTGAGTTATAGTTGGTCACCACCCGGGTGGGGATGCCAAGGCACCGAAGCACTGGGGAGGGGGAGGAAGAGGAAGGACAGAGGGCTCAGTGATGGGCTGAGCCCCTGGAGGGGTCTGCCTGGGCCTTGGCATGCTCCTTAGGATAGCACAGTACAGGCGGTGGGGGTCTGAGCCACCCCCTCTAGCCTGGACAAGGGTGCCTCACCCGCGGCTGGCATCCTGTCCACTCCGTCTCTTTCATCATGGTTGCCAGTGGGAGATGGAATTGCAAACCTGATCTCAAGACTTCCCTGAGAGACCTTCAGTGGCGCCCTATGGCCCCTGAGGTCAAGCGCAGATCTCCCGGGTGGCACTTTGGTCCTGTAGAGTCTGGCCCCTGGCAACTCAGTCCATACTCTGCTCCTGGCACACTGGCCTCCGGAGCGTTCCTGCCAAGCACAGGGCACTGGCACCTGCTGTCCCTGGGCCTGGAAGGCCCCTCCACCAGGCCCAGCCCACCGCAGCATTTGCACTGAGCACCATCTCCCTGGCCCGGGCATGTGGGGAGTCTCTAATTAGAGCACAGCAAAGAGTCAGTCTCCTTGTACAGCCCCAGAGCCCAGCACCCTGGGCACCAGGTATTTTGTCAGGTGGAGTGAAGGGGAGAGGGGAGGAAGGAGAAGCTGAGATGGAGGGAGGGAATGACTGAATCTCCCTGCAAAGCAAGCAGGAGAGAGAACTGGGTCAGGAGACTTGCCACTCAATCCCAGCTATGTGGCTTCCTGGTCCTGTGACCTGGGCCAGGTCGCTGCCCCTCTCTGGGTCTTGTTTTCTCCCCCTACTGACCAGGGTCACCACAACAGTTTCTTGGAGGAGCGTCTGGGTTCATGACAAAGTGTTGCTTACAGAGGGGGTGTGGTAGTTACATAATCGGGTGTCCACTTGAGACTATTAAGCATGAAGGGGTGGAGTTTAGCCTGTCCATCAGGTCGCAGCTTGATGACCTCATTTGGAGGCGCTAAGAAGATAAATAACTCACCGCAGGCAGGACACACGCTCACTCCCTGTGAGA